AGTTTTGAGGCCATGCAGTATTACTCGGAAGGGAGGGGGGTTGAGAGATCGGCGGCCAGTGCAGATATAGAGTGAGAAGGGGTACAGATGTACTGAAAAGAGAAGAAGGGAGTAGGCATGGTGGGGTAAAGGGGGCCTGCATATGCAGTGTTGGGAACGTGGGGTTGGGGTGGAGCATTGAGGTAAGTTAGGGAGAGAAGGGCCTCAGGCATGTTGTGGGTACAAGCATGGGGGTGAGAGCTGGGGGGTAGGGGGGGGCGGGGATGTGCAAGCATGATAGAAGAAGCAAAAGAGGACTGCTGGAGTCGGGGGGGAGTTGGGGGGTGCAGGCATGGGCGCAGTGGTGAGAATGGAGCATGGTGCAGGTGAAGGTAAGACTGGGTGGAAGAATGTACATAAGAGTGATGTCATGTGACCTCCCAGAATCCTCCTCACCTCTCCGGTCAGCAGGTAGATGATCTCCAGGGTGAGGTGTAAGATCCTCTCAGTCATGTGACCGCGCTCCATCTCCATCAGGTGATCAGGTTTGAGGTTTCTCCTTAGTTGAAATCTAAAGACAGGACGAGGAAAGAACCTCCAGGTGAAACATTCTACAAGAGATATAGAAAGGGAGAAGTATGGACACAGAGAGGAAGAGAGACATGAAGAGGGAGGACAACCATATCAGGACACACCTATCTATGGAGATGAAGAGAACCTGTCATTGCTGACATTTATTCCGTCATGCAGCGCTGTACTGAAATTAATTTTATACAATTTTTTAGGGACAGATAGAGCTTTCTTTTGGTGGTATTTATTCACCACTACGGGTTTTATTTTTTACTATATTAAGGACAAATTACCGAAATTAAAAAAAAAAAAAAAACTGTTCCCTCTATATTAAATGATAAAACATTTATTATTACCCAATTTTTTGGTAAAATTTAAAAGACGGGGTCACGTCGGGTAAAAAGACACCAAACATGTCAAGCCTTAAAATTGCGTGCTCGCGCGAAACCTCAAAAAAATGATAATACCCAAAATTGGCCATAGGCGACGCTTTAAAAGCTTTTACCGCTCATCAGTTTAGAGTTATCGGCGATTGATGGCCCTAAAATGATTGTTCTTACTGCGACGTTCGCGGCGATATGCAACGTGTGTAGCGCAATTGTCGTTTTCGCGCGCTGGTGCACCGTACGCGTGTTTACGTTTATATCTGCGTAAACGTGGGGGTGGGAGAGTTAAACATTTTGGGGTTTTTTTAAAAACTTTTTTTATATGCTCCTCCCTCCCCCTCTCTTCTAAGATGTCAGCGTGACACAGGGCAGGGAGAGATTTACCACATATGAGCAAGTCCATATATGGCAAATGATGTCACTGGGGATCCCTGCTGATCGGATGCTTGCCAGTCTGCAGGGATGCCCAGTGACATCATTCACCATATATGGACTTGCTCATATGTGATAAATGATGGAGAGAGAGCCCTCTTTCCCCTCTCTCTTCAGCTATCCCCAGTGATTCTAGGATGTCAGCGTGACACAGGGAAGGGAGAGAGGGGGGGGGGGGGGGGCGCAGCAGGGATCCCCAGTGACAGTGGGCTCCTCTCCCTCTCTCCCCTGTGTCATGCTGACATCCAGATCACTGATGAGAGAAGGGAAAGAGCACTGAAATTGCAGGGAGGCTGAGTCAGCAGTTCACTTCTAAACATCTATTGGCTGCTGCCTTTTCACTTGAGACTCCGCCTCCTGCTCCCAAATGCCAGCGTGCACGCTCTGACAAAACACAGCAGTGCGCGATGAGAGAAAGCGCGGCCACAGCAGAAGGAGAATTTGAAAAAAAAAAAAAACTGAGGGCGGGCTGGATCAACTGTTAACGCCCCCTAAGAGGAAAGGAGCTTGGAGCAGGGCTGGAGGTGGCCGTTTCCTGTGGGTTTTGATGACTTTAGCTGTGATGTGACTTCAGAAAAAAGGAAGAATGCTAATATAATAAAGGTAAGGAGTATTTTTATTTGCCCTCAGGTCATAATTCTCCTTTAAAAAGAGGAACATTTGAGGCCTCATTCCTCCTCTCTATGTGTATAGTACTGATACTGGAACTCTACGATCAGCCAGAGCGACACTTCTATCTAATCTTATCATTTGTATAGAATAGAACCCACAACTTTCTTTCTTTTCTAGTTTTGGATAGAGTCAGGGAGGGCGCAAAAACCCATGTGAGCTTCTCTACCATCTGTGTCCCTTTGGGACATCTATCAGTAGGTCTCCTGACTGAGCTGGGGGCATTAGCAGTAGACGTCTGGAAGCTGAAACCCCAACACTAGGCCTCAAACTATTCACCACCATGACTGTGACCTTTATCACCGTCTGTACCCCTAATGCCGGCCTTCCCTGTACACACAACCTGAACTCTTCCTGTAACACTAACATCAGCACTTCCTGTAACCCTAAAAATACCAACACTTCCTGTAACTCCAACACCAACACTTCCTGTAACCCTAAAAATACCAACACTTCCTGTAACTCCAACACCAGCACTTCCTGTAACCCTAAAACAAGCCCTGTAAAGAACACCAACACTTCCTGTGACATTAACACTCTCCTTCCCTCCAATTCCCACAGTAACCATTCCGGGACCCTAACATTGTCAGGATCGGACTCAAGGGCGTGGACCCGGGATACATTGGGACACCTAAGGTGCAGGTAGTATATGGCGACTGAGAGCTAGGATTGGCAGAGGATGACAGGAAGTCCAGACGAAGCGGAACACCAGAATGCAGAGTAGGTAGCGTGGGGTCCCCCAGGGCCGGAGTCTAAGGACCACCTAGTATTCACCAGAGCTCCTGCTGGTGGAGATGGACTACACTGTGTGCTGGCTCCAGATGGAGACCCCTAGCTTCACCCTACTCTGCTGACACCGAACGCTGGTGGACAAGGCTAGAATTCAAGGTAGGCTGAGGACACGGATACCAGGAGACAAGCGGAAGGTCAGGGCAGGCTGATGACATGGATCCCAGGAGACAAGCGGAGGGTCAGGGTAGGCTGATGTCACGGATACCAGGAGACAAGCGGAAGGTTAGGGCAGGCTGAGGACAAGGATACCAGGAGACAAGCGGAGGGTCAGGGCAGGCTGAAGACAAGGATACCAGGAGACAAGATGAAGGTCAGCCTTCCTGAGGATGAAAGGCGCGCATGTTGTTACTCGCTATACGTCTTTTTCAAAGGAACCGCCTACCTATGTGACCTGTGACTGCGTCCGTCTGATGGGGATAGTTATAAGAGAATGAAATCAAACACAGAAAACAAAAAGACATAAAACTCCAAATGTATATTTATTGGTTGTAAGCGGGAAAACCAAAGTCTATTATAAAAGTAACCATGGCAACAGTGGCATACATCTCAACGAATAATATTAAAGTATTGAGAGGGATAAAACGATGACGTTACTGTTCTTGGTGACAGAGTGACAACAGCAATCAGATTGAAGATGGTTTCTGTCCTGCACCAAAACTGCATTCATCTGGCACAGCCGTCTCTGGTAGTGTGCCGGAAGGGGAGCAAGGCTAAGAATCTCATTCTGAAGGTGTTGGTGTGTGGACCACAGTAACCTCTTCCGCACATGGTTCAACATTTCCCACACACCGAACATGAATATGGCTTCTCCCTGCAGTGAGTTCTCGTATAGGAAGCAAAAAACGGAAACAATTTCTACATCACGGTGTGAGATCACATGTGAAAAATAAAGTTATACTTATAGAAAAGAACTCTATTATAGCCATGAATACTTCTACCAAGTGTGAGTCCTCATATGAAGTTTAAGAGTTCTATGCTGAGTGAAACTTTTCCCGCACTCTGAACATGAATACGGCTTCTCCCCGGTGTGAGTTCTTATGTGATTATTAAGAATTGTCCTCCTACTAAAACACTTTCCACATTCCGCACATGGATACGGCTTCTCTCCCGTGTGAATTCTCTTATGAGTAACAAGAGATGAATTGGCAGTAAAACTTTTCCCGCAATGTGAACATAAATACGGCTTCTCTCCGGTGTGAGTCCTCTTGTGAGTAACAAGAGTTGTACTTATAGTAAATCTTTTTCCGCACTCTGAACATAAATACGGCTTCTCTCCGGTGTGAGTCCTCTTGTGAGTAACAAGACTGGAATTTTCAGTAAAACACTTCCCACACTCTGAGCACGAATACGGTTTATCACCGGTGTGAGTCCTCTTGTGTTTAACCAGAGTTGTACTTGTAGCAAATATTTTCCCGCAATGTGAACATAAATACGGCTTCTCCCCGGTGTGGGTCCTCTTGTGTTTAACCAGAGTTGTACTTGTAGCAAATATTTTCCCGCACTCTAAACATAAATACGGCTTCTCCCCGGTGTGAATCCTCTTGTGTTTAACCAGAGTTGTACTTGTAGCAAATCTTTTCCCGCACTCTGAACATGAATATGGCTTCTCCCCTGTGTGAGTTCTCTTGTGAATAACAAGAAATGTACTTATTGTAAAACCTTTCCCACACTCTGAACATAAATATGGCTTTTCCCCGGTGTGAGTCCTCTTGTGAATAATAAGAGCTGTACTTGTGGTAAAACATCTCCCGCAATCTGAACACAGATATGAATCCTTTCCTGTGTGAGTTCTTGTTCTATGATCTGGATGATGGGTGATGGGAGGTGAGCGATCGGGAAAACTCCCCCCAGGTGTGGAGGGATCAGATGACAGATGTGCCCCCATGATGTGTTGGTCACCTGGAGGAGATAAGGGGCAGAAGGGCATTAAGAACCATTATAATACAAGACAAAGCTCCGCCCCTCACATATATGAGTGGAGAGCAGAGAACTAAACGTATACAAAATTATTTTGAAAAATACCGGATTTCTCTTTAATACTGAAATGTATTGTCACTAAAGATGAGAGTGAAGCCCCCTGTACTGAGTTGTATGAGAGACCCCAGAGAGTGTGTGTGGGGGGAGACTGGTCACGTCTCTTGGCTGGTAACACACAATGGCATGATGTGAGGAGGAGAGCCGGAGTGTAACAGAGGCTGATGGCTCCTGACTCCCCCCACTAGACACATTCCGTCCCCCCATTACTGTCTACTGACAGAGGAGGGGGGAGGGGAGAAGAAGAGATTGTTGTAGGAACTGAACAAGGAGAATCTGGGACTCTTTTCTGGATTTAGTGTTTATTCCTCACCTGTGCTGATCTCTGGAGAACGTTCCTCCTCCTTACACAATTCATCATCCATCAGGTATGCATCTTCTTCATCTTCAGCCACAATTATGCCATCACCCTGGAGAACACGGATTCTGTTAGTTGCAACATTTTCTGCATTGTGAATGAAATACAAAGATGATGTTACTATCTACTAGGGATGTCCCAATGCCACAAGTACTTTCCCTCAGGTACTCGCCGATACCAATTACCGATACTTTTTCTTAAAGGGCCAGGTGACTTTATTCCCTAAAGCAACACAGACTGATGATATTAGGCAGTTTCTCACCAGAGCGAAATACAGATATCCGCAGAGTGCCGTACATCCCAGCAGAGCGCCCTACATGCCGAGGTCCCAACAAGTTCGGGAACTCAGCAGACGCTGCGGTTTAAAAATCTAAAGGGCCAGTATCGGCCCTAAGAATCGGGGAAATGCCTGGTATCGGGACATCCCTACTATCTACCTGATCCTCCTGAGGGATCTCCTGATGTTCCTGTGTGTGGAGTCCCGGGAATTCAGAGGACAGGCCTGAGGGATCTCCTGATAACACAGACCTCTGGGACCCCCTTCTCTCATAATTAGAAGACATTATTACCTCCTCCGCAACGGGCTCACACTGTCCAGGAAGACGTTTCTTTCAGCAGTTGCACTCGCCAAACTGTTCTTGGCTACAACAAAATGGCCGCCGCGCCTTGCACCGACACTTCTTCTAACACGGAGGGACTGTCTCCCTCTAGTGGTGGCTCCGCACATCAATATACGGTGACTATGGCAACCAGGAATCGGCTGGGCTGCCTTGGAACGCACACAGCGGAAGTGCGGGAACCACAGGGCGGAAGTGTGAGGACAGAGTGGAGAGAGACACAGGATCAGGGATGAGAGAGGAGTCCGTGTCTCCAGCCTGAGACAGAGAAATTATAGAATGATAATAAAAGGATATAGAACTATATGGAGGAGATTTATCTGATCTGTAGAAGTTTAGTTTTAAAAAGAAAAGAGGAACATTTGAGGCCTCATTCCTCCTCTCTATGTGTATAATGCTGATCCTGGAACTCTATGATCAGCCCAGAGCGACACTTCTATCTAATCTGATCATTTATATAAAACGGAACCCACAACTTTCTTTTCTAGTTTTGGATAGAGTCAGGGAGGGCGCTATAACCCATGTGAGCTTTTCTACCATCTTTGTGGTTTTAGGGTTACAGTAAGGCCCCGTTCACATTGAGCGATTTATCGCGCGATTTTTGTAGCGATATCGCTCATATTTCCGCACTATATCGCTCTATGTAGCTTCACCAATACAATTCAATGGAGCTGTTCACATCTCGTCGCTCAATGTCGCTCAATATCGCTCAATATCGCTTGTAGCTCGTCGCTGGTAGCTTGTCGCTTCTACATGACCCTTTTTTAGAGCGATTTTGAGCGATATTGCTCCTGATTGCATACAGCCCAATAGGAAGATGTCGCGCGACACGTCGCTCAAAGTCGCGCGATTTGCATGTCGCTCAGTGTGAATGGGGTCTGAGTGTTACGGTTACAGGAAGTATTGATGTTATTAGGGTTACAGGAAGTGTTGGTTTTATTAGGGTTACAGGAAGTGTTGGTGTTATTAGGGTTACAGGGAGTGTTGGGGTTACAGGAAGTGTTGATGTTATTAGGATTACAGGAAGTGTTGGTTTTATTAGGGTTACAGGAAGTGTTGGGGTTACAGGAAGTGTTGATGTTATTAGGGTTACAGGAAGTGTTGGGGTTATTAGGATTAAGGTTATAGGAAATGTTGGTATTATTAGGGTTATAGGAAGTATTGATGTTACAGGAAGTGTTGATGTTATTAGGGTTACAGAAAGTGTTGGTTTTATTAGGGTTACAGGAAGTGTTAGGGTTAGAGGAAATGTTGGTGTTATTAGGGTTATAGGAAGTGTTGATGTTATTAGGGTTACAGGAAGTGTTGATGTTACAGGAAGTGTTAATGTTATTAGGGTTACAGGAAGTGTTGATGTTACAGGAAGTGTTGATGTTATTAGGGTTACAGGAAGTGTTGATGTTACAGGAAGTGTTGGTATTATTAGGGTTACAGGAAGTGCTGGTGTTAGGGTTACAGGAAGTGTTGGTATTATTAGGGTTAGAGGAGGTGTTGGGGTTACCGGAAGTGTTGGTATTATTAGGGTTACAGGAAGGGCTGGTGTTAGGGTTACAGGAAGTGTTGGTATTATTAGGGTTACAGGAAGTGTTAGGGTTACAGGAAGTGCTGGTGTTAGGGTACAGGAAGTGTTGGTATTATTAGGGTTAGAGGAGGTGTTGGGGTTACAGGAAGTGTTGGTATTATTAGGGTTACAGGAAGTGTTAGGGTTACAGGAAGTGCTGGTGTTAGGGTACAGGAAGTGTTGGTATTATTAGGGTTACAGGCAGTGCTGGTGTTGGGGTTACAGGAAGTGTTGGGGTTATTAGGATTAGTGTTACAGGAAGAGTTCAGGTTGTGTGCACAGGGAAGGCCGGCATTAGGGTTACAGACGGTGATAAAGGTCACAGCCATGGGGGTGAATAGTTTGAGGCCTAGTGTTGGGGTTTCAGCTTCCAGACGTCTACTGCTAATGCCCCCAGCTCAGTCAGGAGTCCTACCGATAGATAATTCCCCCGGGTCCCAGTGTTGGACGAGCGGATTTTCAAGCCCCGCGCCTACCTTTGTGACCCGTGACTGCGTCCGTATGATGGGAATAGTTATAAGAGAATGAAATAAAACACAGAAAACAAAAAAGGGAAATAAATCTCCGATGTATATTTCATGGTAACAAGCGGGAAAACCAAAGTCCATTATAAATGTAACCATGGCAACAGCGACATACACCTAAATGTATAGAAATCCTCAGAGGGATAAAACCACGACGTTACTGTGCATGGCGACAACAGCAAACTGCAGGAAGATGGTTCCTGTACACGTAGCGCGGATAGTGGATTGGAGTCGCAACGCTGACAGCGCGCTATGGGTGGGTTTGGAAGGAGATACGTGCGACCTTCCTATCAGCGCCGTTCCTTGGACATTGCCTAAACTTCCCCTGCGGTCTTGGCCCAATCCACATGTTCAGGCGCCAATGAGGGGAGCAGAAGTAGCCGTTTCGTCCTTGAATCTCTCCCCATCAATGTGGCCCACGATGCCTGTTATTGGCAATCCACATTCCCCTCCTGGCACGCGGGGCTCACACTTCAGGGCCTTATTAGAATCTAGGCAAGTGCGTGCCATTACCTTCACGGATGACTGCCAATGGCGCTCTATAATTCAGATCCAGACTATGGTGGCGCCCCCCGATGGATCATTGGGGAGCTATAGACATCTCCCACTTTCTTAGATCCCTTAAAGGGAAAACGTCAGCTATGCGCCCCCTCACACCCTTCCAGAAACTATGCTTATCAGTGTGTCCAGTCAGACACGTCTTAGCCATGGTTGTCCAGTGCCTAGTGGATTCACTATCACTTCCCGCTCCACACGACAACGGGAAAGGGATATGGGTGTGGCACATTCTGTACAGCAAAAAAAAAGCTCATCCATCTGCCCCAGCCATCTCTGGTACCCTGGCCGTGATGGTGCAAGTATCAGAATCTCATTCAGAAGGCGTTGGTGAACCTCTTCCGCACATAGTTCATAGTTGTGCAAGAAGACCAGTGGACGTTTTTAGGTGTACGTAATAGAAGGTTTCTGTTTCCTGGGTAAAACCTTTTCCACACTTTGATCATAAATACGGCTTCTTCCTGATGGGATTTCATTTATGGGCAAAAAGAGCGGAAGTTGCCGTAACACCTTTTCCACACTAAACACGAATACGGCTTATAAGTAACAAGAGTCGAACATGCGGTAAACCCTTCCCGCACAACGAACATGAATATGGCTTCTCCCTGGAGTGAGTTCTCTTATACCAAGCAAAAACTGAGCACAATTTCTGCATTGCGAACGTGAATACGGCTTCTGCCCGGTGTGAGATCTCATGTGAAAACTAAAGTTGCACTTGTAGAAAAGAACTGTATTACAGCCGTGAATACTTCTACCACGTGTGAGTTTTCATATGAAGTTTAAGAGCGCTCTGCTGAGTAAAACTTTTCCCGCAGTCTGAACATGAATAGGGCTTCTCCCCGGTGTGGATTCTTTTATGCAACTCAAGACTGGATCCCAGAGTGAAACATTTCCCACATTCTGAACATGAATACGGCCTCTCGCCTGTGTGAGTTCTCATGTGATTAATAAGAATTGTACTCCTACTAAAACACTTTCCACATTCCGAACATGAATACGGCTTCTCCCCCGTGTGAATTCTCTTATGAGTAACAAGAGCTGAATTTGCGGTAAAACATTTCCCACAATCTGTACATGAATACGGCTTCTCCCCCGTGTGAGTCCTCTTGTGATAAATAAGAGCTGTACTCTCAGTAAAACACTTCCCACACTCTGTACACGAATACGGCTTCTCCCCGGTGTGAGTCCTTGTGTGTTTAACAAGAGTTGTACTTGTAGTAAATCTTTTCCCGCACTCTAAACATAAATACGGCTTTTCCCCGGTGTGAGTTCTTTTGTGATTAACAAGAGCTGAACTCGTGGTAAAACTTCTCCCGCAATCTGAACATGAGTGCGCCTTTTCCCTTGTGTGGGTCCTCCTGTGAGAATCAAGATTTGAACTCGAAGAAAAAGAATTCCCGCATTCAGAACATGAATACGGCTTCTCCCCGGTGTGAGTTCTCTGATGTTGGAGAAGTTGGAACTTTGTGTTGAAACATTTTCCGCACTGGGGGCAGGAATACGGCTTTATGCCTACGTGAAGCCGTCCGTGGGAAACGAGAGAAGACTTGTGGGTGAAACCTTTCCCGCAATCTGAACACAGATAAGAATTCTTTCCTGTGTGAGTTCTTGTTCTATGATCTGGATGATGGGTGACGGGAGGTAAGCGATCGGGAAAACTCCCCCCAGGTGTAGAGGGATCAGATGACAGATGTGTCCCCATGTCACTCACGATGTGTTGGTCACCTGGAGGAGATAAGGGGCAGAAGGGCATTAAAAACCATTATAATACAAAGCAGTTGCAGCTCTGACTGGTTCCCCTACACCTTAGAGTCAGTGGCAGAACTACCACGATCACAGAGATTGCAGCTGCGTCCGGGCCCTGGCGCTCCACCACTGTCCATTCGTCTGTATTGTTTCTGTCACATGACACACACCAAAAAAATATATATATCATATTCGGTATCTGTGAATAGTTAAGGAAAAGTATCGGCTCTCGGCCTGGAAAAGGTTTTATCCGTGCTTTCCTTGTTGTAAGAGTGTCCTGGCGGGATTATGTACATCACCGTCATTGAGCTCCTCCCACCATCTGCTCCAGATCAGTAGCCATGGCCAGAGCTCACACAGTGACAATCCCTCCACTTTGGTGGAAGTGTTTATACCCCAGACCAGAGAGGTGAGGAGGATTCTGGGAGGTCACATGACATCACTGTTATCTCTATTAATAAAACACAGACCTGACCGGAAAGGTGAGGAGGATTCTGGGAGGTCACATGACATCACTGTTATCTCTATTAATAAAACACAGACCTGACCGGAGAGGTGAGGAGGATTCTGGGAGGTCACATGACATCACTGTTATCTCTATTAATAAAACACAGACCTGACCGGAGAGGTGAGGAGGATTCTGGGAGGTCACATGACATCACTTTCTCAGCTGGAGGAAGGCAGAGAGCAGGGAAACAGCTTCTCATATATACATTGATAATTACTAACCAATGGAAATCTTTATAGGAATTATCTCCTCCTCTTCAATCTTCACACAGACTTCTTCCTCCTCCTCAGCTTTGACGTCTCTCTGAGGGTCTCCAAGGTCTGTGAATAAAGATGAGAGTGAAGCCCCCTGTACTGAGATGTATGAGAGACCCCAGAGAGTGTGTGTGGGGGGGAGACTGGTCACGTCTCTTGGCTGGTAACACACAATGACATGATGTGAGGAGGAGAGGCGGAGTCTAATAGAGGCTGATGGCTCCTGACTCCCCCCACTAGACACATTCCGTCCCCCCATTACTGTCTACTGACAGAGGAGTGGGAGGGGAGAAGAAGAGATTGTTGTAGGGACTGAACAAGGAGAATCTGGGACTCTTTTCTAGGGCTGCAACAACTAATCGATTATAATCGATAATGAGAATCTTTCGTAGCAATTCTCATCATCGATTAGTTGCTGCCGCTCTGCTCCTCCGTTCTCCTCCCTGCTGGTGCTGGCTGCAGTGGTCTGTGTCCCTTTCAATCCCCACCTGTATGGGCAGAGGCAGCGAGGACACAGAGCACTGCAGACGGAACCAGTGGTGAGGAGAGACTGCTGTGACTGCATTCCCTGCTGCCCACCCCCCACCTCCCCCATACTTCCGCTGCTGCCCTGGTCCTTCTCTGCCCCCTGTGTCTATGCTGCAGCCCCGTTCCTCCTCTGTATACCGTTTTATTCTGAAGTAAACTTTATGTTTGTAAAGATGCATTTGTGTATTTTATGTTAAATAAATGACAATATTTTTGTAAATCATTATCCGATTAATCGAAGTTAGTAATCGGCTACATAATCGATTATAACAATAAGTGTTAGCTGCAGCCCTACCCACCTGTGCTGATCTCCGGAGCGATTTCCTCCTCCGCACACGACTCGTCACCCCTCACAGACGGATCTTCTTCATCTTCAACTTTAACCACAATTAGACCATCAGCCTGGAGAACACGGACTCTGTTATTTGCAACATTTTCTGCATTGTGAATGAAATACAAAGATCATGTTACTATCTACCTCATCCTCCTGAGGGATCTCCTGATGTTCCTGTGTGGAATCCCGGGAATAGAGAGGACGGGTCTGAGGGATCTCCTGATGTTCCTGTGTGGAGTCCCGGGAATACAGAGGACGGGGACATCTCTCTGGGGTATTCCTGTTCCTGGATCCATCTGTAGGAAACACACACACTGACTGAATACATTGTTTCTATGTCTTTATATCAGAGGATGTGTGTATCTAGGGGGATCCTCAATACTCAAGAAATGAAAGTCTCCTCTTACCCGGTGATGTGAGGGGCGGCCGGTTCTCCATCATGACGTCCTTGTAGAGATCCCGGTGTCCTTCTAGATACTCCCACTCCTCCATGGAGAAATAGACAGAGACATCCTGACACCTTATAGGAACCTGACACACACAATGATACAGTCACCATCCAGACACATCCCTTGTCTGTTCCTGGATCATGTCCCAGAATTCCCGGCACCGCTCACCTCTCCAGTCAGCAGACCAATCATTTTCTGGGTGACTTCTAGAATCTTCTTATGTCTCTCAGCTGGCGGGGAGGGAGTTGGAGTTTCCGCCATGGGGCTCAGTTTCCGGCTCCAACTTGGTGACACGCCAGTCATGTGATCGTCACACTGACTCCTCACTACAATACAGTCCTGGGATTTACCAGACAAAGAAATATGAATAAAGAGAAATAAACCAAATCATTTATATTCCAGGAAATCAATGGAGGTCCATAAAATCAGCAACTTCTGTACACGGGTCTGTGTATTATTATTAGAGATAAGAGTGATGTCATGTGACCTCCCAGAATCCTCCTCACCTCTCCGGTCAGGTCTGCGTTTTATTATTAGAGATAAGAGTGACGTCATGTAACCTCCCAGAATCCTCCTCACCTCTCCGGTCAGCAGGTAGATGATCTCCAGGGTGAGGTGTAAGATCCTCTCAGTCATGTGACCGCGCTCCATCTCCATCAGGTGATCAGGTTTCTCCTTAGTTGTCCCCGGACACAGAAATCTAAAGACAGGACGAGGAAAGAACCTCCAGGTGACACATTCTACAAGAGATATAGAAAGGGAGAAGTACGGACACAGAGAGGAAGAGAGACATGAAGAGGGAGGACAACAATATCAGGACATGCCACCTGACTGACTCACATGACCCCCATTCCCTTCCACAGAGAGTGCTGGGACCTCCTTCTCTTTTTCTACTCTCATAGTAAGAAGACATTATTACCTTCCCCTGAACTGAGCTCACACTGTCCAGGAGGAAGCTTCTTTTAGTGATAACAGTTCTACTCTACGCCTCTTTCGGGCTATAACAAAATGGCTGCCGCTCCTTGCACTGAGGACACTTCCTCCTTTGATATGGCAGACGGTCGCCCTCTAGTGGTGGCTTCAGACTGCAATAGACGGTTCTCTAGCACAAGCTGGCCTCTGCAAGATTGTCCTCACTTGACTGGCCATCACTATGGCAACCAGCAATAGGCTGGGCGGCCTTGGAACGCACACAGCGGAAGTGCCGTAACCACAGGGCGGAAGTGTGAGGACTGAGCCGAGAGAGACACTTGATTAGGGCAGGGCAGGGCAGAGAGCGGAGTCCATGTCTCCAACATGAGATAGAGAAATCATCACAATAAAATCGCACACACAATTTTTTGCAAGCACACCGCACCAGAACGCACAGCATTGCGGTACCGCGCTGGCGATCACACAGTGGGCAGGAGGCGTGTTTAGGTTGCCATTGAAATGAATGACACCACAACACATCCCGCAGCAGAATTTGTCAGGGGAGGTAGAATTTAGGCTGAAAATTAGGGATGCGCCTCGGGAGCCTTGTTGTAGGGCCGCCTCGGGAGACTTGTTGTAGGGCCGCCTCGGGAGACTTGTTGTAGGGCCGCCTCGGGAGATTTGTTGTAGGGCAGCCATGTTTCCTAAAATGGTATATCACTAGAAACCAGACACGTTTAGTTCTTCAACACAGACCGCTGTATCAGAGTTCCATGAAATGAACATTCCGCTCTATCTAGATTTTGGCTAAAACAGGAACCAAAAGACGTCAAATTTGGGCGTGGCCTCGTGGTTTTGGACAGTTAACCATCTCAGTGCTGTGACAAAGAACTCCATTTTATTGGATGATTTGTATCTCCGGGCCCGCCCACTGTGCTATCACACGGGGGGAGCTCACAAGCCCCTTATGTGATAGCACATTGCAGGTGACGGATTCTCTTTAAGGTGACATTAGGGGCCTATTAGACCCCTAGTGTCCCCTTTACCACTTCACTGGGGAATGACAGCTGCCTGCTGAGACAGCTGAATGTAAACACAGCAGGCAGTGGCTGGGAGCAATAGCCAGTCCGCTATTGGCTATTTGAAACTGCAGTAGCCGATAGCAGGCTGGTTATTGCACCCACCTGCTGCCTGTTGTTAAAAACAGTAGAGGAGGGAACGGAAGGAGAAAGTTCTCTTTCAGGTCCTCTTCTGCTGATTGACAGCAGACGGGTGCAATAGCCAGCCTGCTATCAGCTATTGCAATGTCAAGTAGCCAATAGCAGGCTGGTTATTGCTTCCAGCCGCTGGATGGGAGACTTGACACCGGCTTTCTACCGATGGCAGAAGAGGGGGCACAGGGGAGCAACGGAGGCGTAGCGGCAGCAGTGGTCTCTACTCCCCGCTGGGAGCTGGCTGCAGTGGACTGTGTCCCTTCTGATACAGACCGCAACGGCTCCCAGTCAGTGGGGGGGAATCAACTAATCGATAATGAGAATCATTGACAACGATTCTCATCGATTGAATTGATTAGTTGTTGCAACCGTAGTACAGTACCAATACTGAATATATAACGGCTAATAACGTTTCAGCCATCTGTTTTCCTTTGGGGAGATTTCCCTTCACTTCCTTTCCAATAGCCACCACAGGAAGTGAGGTGTCCCATGGAGTCCAATCTAGAAGATCTATCAAATACAGGATCATCCTATGTGGAAGGAACTACCTGTTCCAAGGATGAAGAGAGAAAAAAAATGGTGCACGCAGATGGGTGAAGCCCCCTGAATGCAGGGAGTAGAGACTAACCCTGACCTCTGAAGGATTGAAGCACGGGCTACCTGGTCCATAGAGACAGACCCATTTGGTTGTTCAGGCCTCAGACCCACCATGACAGAGAGGGAATTTTAAAGCTGGGCTGAAATAGGAGAGGGGAGACAAGTCTGAGCAGAGGATCCCCCAACACCCAACACCCCCCTGGGGAGAAGGGGTTGACTCTTCTGTCTCTTAATGAAATACCTGGGGGTATGGAAGCCAAGGATCATCATAACAAGGATGTACGCTGAAAAATCAGCCACCAACACTGGAGCCTAGTCTGCATGTCTCGACGTAGTGGAGTACCATGATGCAGAGTTGGTAGCTGGGATTGCCAAGGCGCGGAGTGCAAGGACCAGCCGGTATTCACCAGAGCTCCTGATGGTGCAGATGGACTACTCTCCATGCTGGTGACCCCTTGGTTAACCCTACTCTGCTAACAGGAGACAATGGTTGACAAGGCCACCGAGCAGGGTAGGCTGCGGACACATATACCAGAACACAAGTTGAAGTTTAGGGCCGGCTGATGACACGGATACCAGGAAACAAGAGGAAGGTCAGGGCAGGCTGATGTCACGGATACCAGGAGACAAGATGAAGGTCAGGGCAGGCTGATGTCACGGATACCAGGAGACAAGATGAAGGTCAGGGCAGGCTGATGTCACGGATACCAGGAGACAAGCGGAAGGTTAGGGCAGGCTGGGGACACGGATACCAGGAGACAAGTGGAAGGTCAGGGCAGGCTGGGGACACGGATACCAGGAGACAAGATGAAGGTCAAGACTGATGGCTGAGAAGGATTTCCAGGGAAGTCAAGAACAGAGACTTCAACAGCAGACTGGGGCTTGGCGACTAGCTCAGGAGAAGCGTTGCTCGAGCTGTGAGCTCCACTGAGTTTATATAGAGTGAGCACAAGGGAGGAACCACTGGATTAGCCTCAAACAGACAGCACTTGATTGGCTGAGAAGCTGCATTTTCATCATGAATATGGCGTCTGCCCGGTGTGATTTTTATGACGTAACAGAATATTTCTATTTTCTGGGTAAAACTTTTTCCACACTCCGATCATGAACTCGCCTTCTTCTCGGTGTGAGATCATTTATGGGTAACAAGAGCTGAACTTGCAGTAAAACTTTACAACTTTCCGAACATGAATGTGGCTTCGGCCCGGTGTGAGATCTCGTGTGAAAATTCAAGTTGCACTTATACTATGAAAAAGATATATAAATATTTATTATAGCCATGAATACTTTTTCTACAAAGTGTGAGTTTTCATGTGAAGTTTAAGAGCACTCTGAACATGAATACTGTTTGTCCCCCGTGTGGATTCTCTTATGAGAAGCAAGACCTGAATTCGCAGTAAAACATTTGCCGCACTCTGAACATGAATAGGGCTTCTCCCCGGTCTGGATTCTTCTATGTAACTCAAGACTGGATCCCAGAGTGAAACTTTTCCCACACTCTGAACATGAATACAGCTTCTCCCCTGTATGAGTTCTCATGTGATTAATAAGAATTCTACTCCTACTAAAACACTTTCCACATTCCGAACATGAATACGGCTTCTCCCCGGTGTGGATTCTCTTATGAGAAGCAAGACCCGAATTTGCAGTAAAACATTTCCCACAATCTGAACACGAATACGGCTTCTCCCCGGTGTGAATTCTCTTATGAGTAACAAGAGCCGAGCTTTCAGTAAAACACTTCCCGCACTCTGAGCACGAATACGGCTTCTCCCCCGTGTGAGTCCTCGTGTGTTTAACATAATTTGTTCTCGTAGCAAAACTTTTCCAGCAATCTGAACATGTATACGGCTTCTCCCCGGTGTGAGTTCTCTTGTGATTAGCAAGAGCTGAACTCGTGGTAAAGCATCTCCCGCAATCTAAACATGAGCGCGCCTTTTTCCTTGTGTGGGTTCTCTTGTGAAAATCGAGATTTGAACTCGTAGAAAAAGATTTCCCGCATTCAGAACATGAATACGGCTTCTCCCTGGTGTGAGTTCTCTGATGTTGGAGAAGTTGGAACTTTGTTTTGAAACATTTTCCGCACTGGGGACAGGAATACGGCTTTATGCCTACGTGAAGCCGTCTGTGGTAAACAAGAGAGGACTTGCGGGTGAAACATTTCCCGCAATCTGAACACAGATAAGAATTCTTTCCTGTGTGAGTTCTTGTTCTATGATCTGGATGAAGGGTGACGGGAGGCGAGTGATCGGGAAAACTCCCCCCAGGTGTGGAGGGATCAGATGACAGATGTGCCCCAATCTGTGACTACACTGCTCAAGATTAGTAGGCATGGCCAGAGCTTACACAGTGACAACCCCTCCACGTTGGTGGAAGTGTGCACACCCCAAACCGGAGAGGTGGGAAGGATTCTGGGAGGTTACATGACATCACTTTCTCATCTGGGGAAAGTAGAGACTATGCAGGGAAACAAAAGCTTCTATATCAATGTACATTAATGATGACTAACCAATGCAAGGCTTTGGAGGAATTATCTCCTCCTCTTCAATCTTCACGCAGACTTCTTCCTCCTCCTCAGGTTTGATGTTTCTCTGAGTGTCTCCGGGGTCTGTGGATAGAGATGAGAGTGAAGCCGCCTGTAGTGAGATGTATGAGAGACCCCAGAGAGTGTGTGTGGGGGGGGAGACTGGTCACGTCTCTTGGCTGGTAACACACAATGACATGATGTGAGGAGGAGAGGCGGAGTCTAATAGAGGCTGATGGCTCCTGACTCCCCCCACTAGACACATTCCGCCCCCCCATTACTGTCTACTGACAGAGGAGGGGGGAGAAGAAGAGATTGTTGTAGTGACTGAACAAGGAGAATCTGGGAGTCTTCTCTGGATTTAGTGTTTATTACTCACCTGTGCTGATCTCTGGAGAACGTTCCTCCTTCATACATGGCTCATCATCACTCACAGACGACTCTTCTTCACCTTCAACTTTAACCTCAATTAGGCCATCACCCTGGATAAAATGCATTCTGTTATGTACAACAATTTCTGTATTGTGAATTAAATACAAAGATTATATCACTAGGATGCTCAATTCCATCTACCTGATCCTCCTGATGTTCCTGTGTGGAATCCCGGGAATACAGAGGATGGGCCTGAGGGATCTCCTGATGTTCTTGTGTGGAATCTCGGGAATACAGAGGACGGGGACATCTCTCTGGGGTATTTCTGTTCCGGGATCCATCTGTAGGAAACACACACACTGACTGAATACATTGTTTCTATGTCTTTATATCAGAGGATGTGTATCTAGGGGGATCCTCAATACTCAGGAAATGAAAGTCTCCTCTTACCCGGTGATGTGAGGGGCGGCCGGTTCTCCATCATGACGTCCTTGTAGAGATCCCGGTGTCCTTCTAGATACTCCCACTCCTCCATGGAGAAATAGACAGAGACATCCTGACACCTTATAGGAACCTGACACACACAATGATACAGTCACCATCCAGACACATCCCTTGTCTGTTCCTGGATCATGTCCCAGAATTCCCGGCACCGCTCACCTCTCCTGTCAGCAGCTCCATCATCTTCTGGGTGACTTCTAGGATCTTCTTGTCATTCTTGATCTCAGACATTTGGAAAGGAGTTGGAGGCTCCTTCCTGGGGCTCTGTTTCCTGCTCCAACCTTGTGGCACGCGAGTCATGTGATCATCGGACGGCTTCTTCACTATAATACATTCCTGGGTTTTAAGAGAAATCGATATCACTACATCTCATTGTAAATCCATGGTGGTTCCCAGAATCCTTCACTTCCTTCTTCAAGTCTGCTAAATAGTGATAAGTAATGTCATGTGACCTCCCAGAATCCTCCTCACCTCTCCGGTCAACAGGTAGATGATCTCCAGGGTGAGGTGTAAGATCCTCTCAGTCATGTGACCGCGCTCCGTCTCCATCAGGTGATCAGGTTTGAGGTTTCTCCTTAGTTGTCCCCGGACACAGAAATCTAAAGACAGGACGAGGAAAGAACCTCCAGGTGACACATTCTACAAGAGATATAGAAAGGGAGAAGTCCGGACATAGAGAGGAAGAGAGACATGAAGAGAGAGGACAACCATATCAGGACACACATATCTATGGAGATGAAGAGAACCTGTCATTGCTGGGGGAACACACACCTCAGAGCAGAGCTCCCAGTCATCAGCCTGACCCCCCACAATAGGGAATATGGCTTTCCTCAGGCCTGGTATGGGGCTGGGAACAGAGGGGAGCCGGGCAGGAAGAAGAGGAGACTTTTATTTCCCTTCTGACCAAATTCAAATGTAACCACCCCACCTGTGTGCTTCATAAAGGACATGTCATGTCACCCCATTACCTTCCAGTCTACAGGGAGTGCTGGGACCCCCTTCTCTCATAATAAAGAAGACATTACTACCTTGCCCCGAACTGAGTTCACACAGTCCAGGAGGAAGCTTGTTTTACCGATAACATTTCTTTTCTACGACTCTTCCGGGCTACAACAAAATGGCCGCCGCTCCTTACACTGAGGACACTTTCGCCTCTGATACGGCACACGGTCGCCTCTCCAAGTTGCCATAGTAACGCCCAGCCGAATGAGCAAATAATTTAGCAAGGCCAGACAGTGACAGAGAGCCGTTGTTCTGTCGAGTGGTCGGGAAATTCGACTGGGTCGGCATTCTCGACAGAACACCGTTTAGTTCAGTTTGGAGCCACCACTCGAAGGCAACCTTTTGCCAATAGGAGGAAGTGTCCGCCGAGCCTGAGGTTCGGCGGCCATTTTATTGTAGCCTTGAGGTGGAGACTGGAATTGTTGTAGCTGAATAAAAGTTATTTTTGGAGACTGTGTACCTATTATGGAGAAGGTGATAATGTCTTCTTACTATGAGGGAAAGGGGGTCCCAGAATTCTGTGTGGACTGGAAGGGGGGGTGGGGCATGTGACTTAATTAGTAGTTGTCCTTTTAATTATTCATGGCTGTTGATTATGACCAAGACCCAAGGCAAGAATGCAAACCACGTAGCCACCATGCAGACTACAGAGAGGGCCGGCATTGGACATCTTACTCTGTAAGGTTCCTGATTTTGTTGGGCCGGCGGGGGAATGTTGGATTACTTTGCCCAGTTTCTATTCCCAATGCAGATTAGCAGCAGACGCCTTGAAGATGGAACCTTTAGGTTGGTTCACACCTGAGCTTATTTTTTCAGCTAATTTTTTGTCACGTTTTTTAGCACGTTTTTCCGTTCAGTGAAACGCGCGTTTCACTGGCGGTATGATTCGTTTTTTTTTTCCTTATTTTCTCTAAAAAAAAAAAAGTTTTTTTTTTTTTCACTTTCAATCTTCCCGCCGGCTCCACCCCCCTGCGACGCGGCCGCTCGCAAGGGACAGAAGTCGGCAGCCGCCATAGGACACAGCGGGGATCGCGGACAAGGTAAGACATGTACGCTTTGTTAACCCCGAGCCACACTCGGGAATACCAATGGAAACGCCCCAAAGAAGCTCCTGTACTTCTTTTGGGCGTAGGGCGCTTTTCAACGCGCTGTAAAACGCCCAGGTGGGAACCAGGCCTAAAACTCTCAAATTATTCACCTCTATAACTCTTCGCTTCACCCTAATGCCAGTTCATTCCACGAGCCTTCCTTGTAAACTTAACCTTAACTCTCCCTGTAATGCTACCCCATATACAAATCTCCATGGAAACCCCAACACTAACCCTCCCTACAAGAGTAACCCTAACACCACCACCATCACTATCACCCTCACACCACCATCGTTATCACCCTCACACCACCACCATCTCTATCACCCTAAGCCTCACACCACCACCATCTCTATCACCCTAACCCTCACACCACCACCATCCCTATCACACTAACCCTCACACCACCACCATCTCTATCACACTAACCCTCACACCACCACCATCCCTCTCAC